CAGTTGCAGCTTGCTTCAGAAACCCTCCACCTTCCCCAGCTCCACCTGTATAGATCTGCTACAAGGTGATTCATGTATGCTATATGGGGGTCATTTCATGTTTGTTATATTTGCAGCAGCAATATTCTTACATGCTCACAGCAGCATGTTGTGGATGTATTGGCAGTAGCAAGTCTCGGTACTTGCTCTGCTGCAGGAGCAGCAGCGTAGCAGATCTATTCCGGCAAGACCAAATACATTAACATTGTCATGTACATTACAATCCCTCCGAGAGTTGTCATGACAGAAATATGTATCAGAACCATTTACAATTGCTTGACAATGCCTTTCAGTTTTCAGTTGCTTGCATTTTTTGTTCTTTTGCTGGCAGAGAAAAAAATATACTGCCCCAATGAAACATTGTTTCAGTGTGACTTCAGGTGGACTAACTTTTTTTTTTTAGAGTGTCAGCTGCTATCGGTGAAAACTAAGGCATCAATTTCTTCTCTGACAGCTCTCTGTCTTAACGGGGGTCCGTTACCTCCAAACGTCTCTGGAAAACGTGCTGCGACAGGGGGACCCTGAGTGCAAGTCTGACGGGTGGCTCCTGGAGAACAACGGGGGTCCGTTACCTCCAAACGTCTCTGGAAAACGTGCTGCGGCAGGGGGACCCTGAGTGCAAGTCTGACGGGTGGCTCCTGGAGAACAGCTTTGTGGAGACGGCTCACTCTAATTTCAACATCATCAAACACCTGGGCAAGTTCAATCAGATCAACATTGCATGCAATGGAGATCCAAACATTGACAAACCACCTACAGCACACTATGGTCCAGACAATGTGCCTCCAAAGCCTCTTTCAACAGCCAGCTAGGCCTTCTGAATGCTCCTTCTGGCCAGAAAAATTACATAAGCCACAGAGGACTGGACTGTGATGCTATGACTTAAAAATGATGAAAATGATTCAGTGAAAATTGAGATGGCATTGCAAGGCAGGAACACTGTGAAATTAAAACATACTTGAGGTCTGATGTAATTTAACATGTAAGAGCTTAACCAAGTGCTGCTTTAACACACAATGCAAAGCATCATGGGGCCTTCAGAGTCTTAAAATGCATAAATTGCCTCTCATTAAGAATACAACCGTTTAATTATTTTTGTTTTCACGATTCTCATGTGAATAGTGTGATTACTGGAGAGTTTGTTTAGAGCTAAACTGTTCACTGTAGGTTTTTCATTAGTGAGTAATTGGATGTGGGTTTTTTTTTTTCAGTTCCAGAATCAGTCTGATGTAGGCTACACTGACGTCTAATAAGGTGAATAGCTACTGTTTCTTTCCTACAATCCTCCCAAATGTCTCTTCTGGCAGTGTTTATGTTTGTAAGTTTAAAGTACATATGGTTGCTCTCTCTTTCTCGATATTTCCATAAAAAATAAAATTGTCAGCTTATCCATTATCCAAAAACAAGCCACCAAGATTTCTTATTTCATGCCTTGGTCTCGTGCCTAAAGCCAGGTATTGTAATCACTGGTAAAAACATGATACCAACAGCCTCTAAAACACATTTTCCAAAGATGTATATTTTATAAACACATTTTTTTTATAAAGCACACCCATGTATAAAATTATGATGAATATGTAATAACAATAAATGCAACATTTTAATTTAATTAATACATTATTAAAGAGCTTTAAGTGCTGGTTTCAAGAATACTGCAGTTCAGTCAAACACTTGCATTTATTAATTGCATGCGACTTCACTCTTAAAAACAAATGTTACAAAGAGAGGTGTTCACAGTGGTTTTGCATTCCTCAAAGAACATTTCAGAGAAAAAGTTCTTAAAAGAACAGATTATTTCTTAGTGTGAAGAACATTTTAATAACCTAAAGATCGTTTTTGACAATAAAGAACCATTGAAAGGTTCCTTGGATGTAAGTTTTTTTTTCATCGAACCATATGCCAATAAAGAAACTTTATTTTTTTAAATGATTGTTATAAGTAAATTAAGATGAAAACCCATTTTGAAGGAACAACTGATTTGAATTTCACAAAAATGTTGTGGTAACACTGTACTTGAAGCATGTATATATATATATATATATACAGAACGCATTGTAAAGGTACATCAGTGCCTTATTATACACATGCATTATTTAATCATACCTATTACAGCTTTAAAGACTATAATGCATTATAAAAAATGGGTGCTGATCTGTCATATTGCATTATACAAAAGTTTACAAGTTTTTATGGAGATCTCAAAACATACACAATAGAAGCATTTCTTGTTTGTGTTTTTAATATCTGACAGAAACACCCATCATAGTTAGGAAATAACTGAAATAATTTCAAAACCTGAATAAATTATCAAGTACAGATCATTGATTAATACAGTACTTTAACAGGACTACAGAATGTGAAGTGAAACAGATCCATCAGAAAATGTCACTCAGGAGTTTATTTCATGTACATAAGAAATTTGAAGCCAAGTGCAAATTAAAAGCTCTTACACCTTTAAACTAGATCATGAGTGAAGAAAAAAAAAATATATATCTGGACTTGGACTGACACTTAAGAAAAAAAGCTCGTGTTTGATTTAGTACATATTGACAAGTGGAATTTACAAGCATGTGATTATGCGATTGACTTTTTTTCTTAATTTAAATCACAGCTGCATTCTTATAGTAAAATAGCATCATCTAATTGTACATTATTGTTTATATCCATGTTCATGTGACATCCATAGCATGAGCGAATCTCATGAAACCTGTCAAGAATATGCCTGGGTCATATTTCACCCCAAAATCAAAAGAAATAAGAAAATGTGCTTAAATTAAATGATGCCTATTTTTAGAAATATTAACATAATTAGCATCGAGATTATTATATATTAATTTTGTTATGTTATGACATTATTATTATTTGTTGTCTATTTGGCTTTCATTTATGCTGATTTAAATTTTAAAAGTATATAGTAATTTACAATAATAATGAGAATTTTAAAAGAAAACAAAATGAAAAATTTTATTAAATTTTTTTTTGGCGTAGTATGTGACCCGGACATATTTTTGTGAGATTCACCTGAGAACATAATTTGCAAAACAGCTTCTCAATCAGAAACACTGAATATATATTTTATGTTGACGGTGGCTTTACATCATAAAGTAGTACACAGATATATTATATTCACAAGAATAAATTTCTCACACAGATGAAAGAAAGAGCAAAAAGGCTGTAGCAGGGGGAGAGGACTAGCATTTCACATGAGTCAAAAAAAGAGACATAAGCCCCTCAATAAACCTTTACACCCTGAAAACAAATGCAAAAACACCACAATGAGCAAAAAGAAAAAGCTTCAGTGCTAAAGTGAGTGTAGATCTGCAACCCAAGTTAAATAAAGAGCCGAGAGAACACATTCACTTCTTTAATATCTATTATGGGCCTGTTTAGTGTGACTACCCATAATGCACTGGCTGCTGGAAAACACGGACAGCAGTATGTAGAGAAGTGAGGGAGTTTATTACTCCTTGCAGTCGGGCGCAGGCTAACCGAACGCGGCGTATCTTGGTACTCGCGTTATGCACTTCCTCTGTCCGTCGCAGAGCTTAAAGCATCTGCCACTCAAAGGGGAACATGACGTTGAGAAGCTCCAGACTGCGGGCGATTTCCTCCAGGATGCAATGCTGCTGCCACATATGAAGCAACTTGCGGTAGCGCTCTGGACACAAGTGCAGCGGGTTCCCACGCCTAGCAAAGCACAAACAAATACAGCTTAGCATTACTGCTAATAAAGAATAAACTAACAAAGCACATGCTTAATGATTATACAGTGTTTACAAAGCTAGGCAAAGAATTATATTTTCAGCATTCTGATCATATTTAAAGGGGTCATATGATGCGATTTAAATTTTTCCTTTCTCTTTGGAGTGTTACAAGCTCTTGGTGCATAAAGAAGATCTGTAAAGTTGCAAAGACTAAAGTCTCAAATCCAAAGAGATATTCTTTATAAAAATTAAACAACGCCTACCTAAAACGGCTCGTTCTAACACGGCCCCAAGTCGCTCAGGAAATACATCAACTTCGCGCTGTGGATAGCCGGATCGGCTTTCACCGTGGACGAAGCGCAGTCCAGCCGGGGGTCGTCACATGTGGTTGCCGGCCGTACCGGCCGTGCCGTTCTCAAGCTCGCCGTCGCTCACTCTAGCCCGCCGTGTGTGACGCTGTGCATTTCGTTGTGAGTTTTAATGTTTTTGTCTCGTCGCTCCGGCCGGACAGGGCATCATCACAGTATGGTGAGGGGCGTAACATTTCCGTCACACGCTTGAGGTATTCAGCCAATCACAATGCACTGGATAGCTGGCCAATCAGAGCACACCTCGCTTTTCAGACCGATGAGCTTTGTAAAAATCGACGCGTTTCAGAAAGGCGAGGCATATAGGAGAAACAATAATGTACAGTATGTGGAAAATAATGTTTTTTGAAACTTAAACTGCATAAACATTTAATTACACCAAATACACAAAATGTTCTTTTTAGCAACATCATATGACCCCTTTAATGTCTTTATTTTGGATGTGAATTATGATTCCCTCCCCACCCAATCAGAGGAAATATAATTTTGACAAACCAGTCATTGTTGTTGTTGAATAAGAATACATTTCAAGAACATTTTGTAATAAAAGTCAATTCAGTATAAAATCTATCATTGTTTCCCACAGTGTAATTATAGTTAAATAAAACTAAAACTATAAGAAAACATTTTTTGTTACTTGAAACAAATCTTAACTAAAATAAAATAAAAACTTTTACTTCAGCTTTATTATGTACTTATGATGCATGTACTAAAATAATTAAAACTAAAACTGAAATTAAAAAAATGAATAAAAATTACATACATATTTAACAAAAAAAAAAAAACTGCTAAAAATGACCAAAATGCACAACAAAATTACTAAAAATAAAAACAAATTCAAAATATGAACAAATACTACAGTAGTATCTCAATGACACTAAAATAGCACTAAATCAATATAATAAAAATATGTTTTTGTCTTTATTTTTATTTTCATTGGTGCTTGAACACCAATTCAGAATATTAGAATGATTCCTAAAGGATCATGTGACAACGAATACTGGATTAATGATGCTGAAAATTCTGCTTTGCCATTACAAGAATAAATCACAATTTAAAATATATTGAAATAGAAAATACTTGTTTTAATTGTAATAATATTTCACAATATTGCTGTTTTTACTGCATTTTTAATCAAATAAATGCAGCCTTGGTCAGCATAAGAGACTTAAAAAACAAAAAAAAAACTCCAATGAACAGTAGAGTATAATAATATAACAATATAGTACTGGTAAAAGATGTATAACCTGAATGCACTGTAAGTCGCTTTGGATAAAACCGTCTGCTAAACGCATAACTTATTATTATTATTATTATACTAAAATGCAAACATTTAATTACCAGTGTTGCGGGTGATGCATTACAAGTAACGCAAGTTACGTAATCAGATTACTTTTTTTTCAAGTAACTAGTAAAGTAGCGCATTACTTTTAAATTTACAACTAAATATCGGAGTTACTTTTTCAAATAAGTAATGCAAGTTACTTTGTTTTCCCATTTATTCACTCACACCTGTCCTGTCACCGTGTTGAGGGAAACTGGGAGTGAGGTGAGGCTTATTCATTTCACTTTTGGAGTGAAAGGGCCTTTACAGTTGCCAAAAATATAACTTTTGTTTTTTTTGTTATTAAAAAACAAATAAGCAAACCCAGCCCAGGTAACAAAAATTAACATTTTTGTTATAACATAACAAAATTAACGTAATGCATTACTTTTCATAAAAATTAACTAAGTAATGCAATTAGTTACTTTTTCATGGAGTAACGCAATATTGTAATGCATTACTTTTAAAAGTAACTTTTCTCAACACTGTTAATTTTTTATATATATATTTTATAAAATATTATGTCTATAAAACTTTCAGAGTGATGACAATCAAAATCAGTGTTTTGAACCAATATGAAGAAATGGCTCTCTGATATGAATCAAACATCCAAACTCTATTGCAAGGAGCTGGTGTAAAAAAAATTCACAACAATGAACTTTACCCAAGCTGAGGGTCTGTTTCTCCATAGTCATCAAGGTAAGGTGCTGGATAGGGACTGCCCCGTGTCTTACTGGCCATCAAGATGATCTCACACTCTCGAACCCTGTTCAGAAAGACAGAAACAAGATCGTTATTATCAATAGTTATCTGTATTTATTTATTAACATCACCCTGCCCTAATAGACATTTCGTTTGTAGAATAAGATACACACTGACTGTGTCTGAAATCGCATACTCTACTTCATTTGAA